AATGCGGAGTTTTGCGCAGCATAGAGTAACGCGTCGTGTGTGTGTGTGTGTGTGTGTGTGAGGGGAACAGGGCCACATCACAGCAGTGAACAGCCTGTCAGAAATCATAGCACGTCAGCTGTCTTAACCTGCGGCTTGTGTACTGCATCATCACTGTGTCTGTCACGCGACTCTGTTCCCCTTTCGGACTTGAACTGATGGTAAAACTAACGACATTATTAACTGTCTTTACATTTTTGTTGAAAGCTGAAGCTCGCGATTATGGTAAGGGGCGTTACATTTCCGACGCATGCTTGTGGTGTTCGGCCAATCACAATGCAGTGGGTCAGCTGGCCAATCAGAGCAGACTGCACTTGTTGGAAGGAGGGGCGTTGTTGAAAACGACGGTGTTTGAGAGAGGCGGGGCATAGAGGAACTACAATAATGTACAGTATTTGAAAAATAATGTGTTTTTTGAACATTAAAGCATGTCAACATACTCTGTTATACCAAATACACAAAATAATGATCTTTAAAATAGCATTATATGACCCCTTTAATTTTTTCCAGAGCTGTACATGTGTGTGTGTGTGTGTGTGTGTGTGTGTGTATATATATAAACAAATATATTATAGATAACAAATCTATGATAGATAGATAGATAGATAGATAGATAGATAGATAGATTGTATTTCCATTTGTAGTTCCTTTTTACTTTTAGCTGTTACAGTGACTAAACAGGCATAATAACTTTCTGCTTGATTTATAACTTCTGTAATCTAAGAACAGCAGTCATCACAATATACAATAATCACAGCATGCTTTAAATTACAAGGGCATGAACCGGCTCGCAGCAAGGCCCTTCTGAATCCAGTTTGACAGCTGGAAAGCGCCCGATCATCTTGTTTCCACATGGCTGCCTGCCTTTGCAGTCACTGCTAACATTCTTAATGACAACATTCTTGATGTCTTGATCATGGCATGACGTCAGCGCTGCACTCACTAACTGGCTTACAGTACGCCTCTTCTGAATCCAGTTTGACAACCGGAAAGTGCCCAATCACCTTGCTTCCACATGGTGGCACGTCCTTACAGTCATCTTTAATAACTTTAAAGAGAACAGGCTTGCAATCATAATCACAGCATGGTGGGATATAGTTGCAGGGGTTACTGCAAGGGTTGTTGCATGCCACTTTCTTGCAGTTGTCCTTACAACCATCACAGTATGATGGGACAGGGTTGCAACAAACTGGCACACAGCATGTCACGTTCTTGCAGTCATTCTTACAACCATAATCACAGTATGGCGGGACAGAGTTGCAAGGGTTGCTGCAAACCGGCATGCAGCATGGCACTTTCTTGCAGTCGTCGAGTGACAGCAAAACATCAGACAGGGCAACAGTTCACTAAGCTGCAAAAAAACAAAAAAAAATAGAGAGAGATAGTGAATGACAAACATTGTCTTTAAGTAGCTATTCAAAACCATTTGACCCTTGTCATTGGTTAAAGCATGCCAGTTTTCTGAAAGCAAATGTGCTAAATAAACCCAGAATCTGAGTAGAATACCATTAATCGTTTGACACCACTAATATATATATATTATATAATACATGTTTTCAGTTGTTTTTCTTGATTGTGTTTGAAAGGCTCTTGTCGGTCTTGCTTGAAGCAGCTCTTCTCTTGCTCTGATGTTTCTCTCCTCAGCAGCCCGGTATATATTCACATCTTCATCTTCATCTCCACTCCGTCCACAGATCAAAGTGGGAGAATGTAAGTCTTATGGAAGTGAGAGTTTAGAGTTCATCGTGAGTCTCACTGACTTCATTTTCAATACAGAATTAGTGCAATTTTTTACAGCATTGCATAGAGGAAAGTGTCATTTTTGCTCACAATGGGAAATGATGTTTAATGAGAAGTAATTAAAAGCAGTTTAATGAATAGCATGTGTGGACTCTTCATGTTATGCAATGTTTAATGCAATGCCAAAGCATGTTCATTCAATCACTCAAATGATTATATATTGTCGTACTATATATGGAGGGGGAAAAAACTATATACATACTAGAAAAGTTATTCTAGTGTGTGGAAAAAACTTTTCTTTACGAATGAGATCAGTCTTTAGAATGTACACTTTTAAAAGAAGTATTTATAAGAACGTACTATTTATTTTTTCTTACAAGCGAGTTTATATCTCACAATTCAGACTTTTTTCTCAACAATTATTTATTTATTTTTTTTCCTGAGAATTGCAAGAAAAATGTCTGAATTGGGAGATATAAACTCAGAATTGCAAGAAAAAGGTCACAACCGACTTTTTAAATTTTCTTATTCCTTGGCAGAAATGGGCTTCCATGGCAGAAAAGTCTGAATTGAGATATAAACTTGCAATTGTGAGGAAAAAAAAAAACACAATTACCCTTTTTATTTTTTATTCCATGGTGGAACAAAAACAAAAAAAGAATTGAGAGATCTAAATGAGAAAAAGTCAGATTTGCAAGATGTAAAGTAACAATTTGGAGGGGAAAAAGTCAGAATTCTTAGTTTAGGTCTTGCAATTCTGTGTTTATATCCCTGAATTCTGATTTTTTTCTCAAAATTGTGAGATAGAAGGTTGCAATTACTTCCATCTACTAGTCTTTCCACTCAAAAATATCACATTCTATATCTTGTATTATTACAAAGATTACGATATGTAATTCAATATATTACATACTGTTTCTTTGTAATTATTTGTGAAATGTCCTAGTAATTTCTGAGTGAAAATTGTTTCTACACCATTGTTTATACTCCTGTTATGTTGGATCCACACAATTCACACACACGTCCTCATAGTGACACTTTTCCACACACAAACATCAAGCACGTCTATTTTTTTATCTTTATTCCACAGAGATGCTGCTTTTCTGCAATGCTGCTTCTCATTTTTGTTTGTGCTATAAAGGAGTTTTATAAAAAAAACTACTAAGTGATGACATCTGCTTTAGATCATGCTTGTCAGATTAAATCGAGATACAAGTTGTTAATCTGTCTGATTAATTCTCCTAGATGACAAATGAGGTGTATTCTTGTTAAACCTCCTTTCCCATTATCACTAAAATGACTCACATTTACACTTATGTAATGCTATAGGCTGTGAAATCTAATGCTAAATACAGCAAGTGAAACAATCTTATGTAACACTATAAAGACTGCACTGCTGTATGTAAGTTTGAATAAGTGAGACTCATTCTAAACACTAAACCTGCCCTCTCATGAAAAATAAAATTCTTCATCTCTGAGCTGTGGACGGGGTGGAGATGAAGATGTGAATATATACCGGGCTGCTGAGGAGAAACATCAGAGCGAGAGAAGAGCTGCTTCCAGCAAGACTTACTTAGAGTACAATAAATCAGGACTGAACACATGTAAGTATTCAATTCAACCAAATTGTTTGTTTTTATTACTTTAAGATAGTCATTGCTTTGTAATAAGCGGATTGCACTTTTTCTTGCCATTCATCCGCTCACAATCTCTCTCTTCTATTGTTTCAGCTCACACTATGCCTTGTAATAAGTCAGCCATCAACAACTTCCGGAAAGTCGGCCGTTTCCCATCCTTAAGAGTGAAGTCAGACGACTGCAGCACAGTGAAGTGCTCTGTACCTGTTCACAAGAACCTTTGCAGCTGTGTGAGATGCTGTGGTCGTGAGGCTGTCGTGGTGCAGGATGACTGTAAATGCAGTGGAGCGTGTGGAAAGCAGGTGTACGGCTGCATCAAGCCGCTTTGTCAGCACAAACCTTGCAGCAACCTGACATCATGCCATAATCATGTGGTCAAGACCGTCATTCAGGATGGCTGTGAATGCTGGAGACATTGTGGAAATGAAGTGTCTGTCTCAATCCCGGTCAATAAGTAGAAGTGTGCGTGCTGCACACCGGGTTGTGATCAACTCCCACTGCAGCTGACCGACAGAAAGCTGTGATTATGTTGGACTGTGAGGTTTCAGTCCTCAGGTTCTTCTGTCAAAAACTGAGCTTAATCTTGAAGCTGGAAAAATGAGGCTAAAAGTATAAAGAAATCTCAAATGTAAAATAAAAGCATTAAAAAGAAAGCATGAGTGATGTATATGTCACATCTGATAGAAAACTGATAAGAATATTGCTTCAGAATAAATCACCCTAGCAAAATAACCCCATATTAAACTCCAAACAGGCTCTTTAGTTACTCTGGTAGAGTTTAATTTGCGATAAGTAGTCTTGTAATAAGCGGGACAAGTATTATGATCAAATAAACACACAGACATAAAATACTGATTTAAATGAAGGTTATTTTTTTTTACCCGAGACAACTGCAGAGTGCAGCAGACGTGAAACAATAGCAGAGTCGCTTTGGATAAAAGAGTAAAAAAAATAAAAATAAGTCCATTAATACAGTGGTTGTTAAATATAAAAAGATATTCAGTTGCATAACGCAGAGACTGACCGACTCGTTTAGATGGCAGCTGGTCAGAAAGGATGTTTTGAACCAATCACCCGAGTTGTAAATGCCATGTGACCAATGACTCAGCAGTCACAGGGAAATTATATCATGGCACAGCTGATGGCACCACAAGAACATAAAAAGACTCAAACCCTTCACAAACAACTACTCTGAGCTGTGAAGCCAAGGACTGCCAAGGACTGCAGAAAATACAAGTCAGGTGATTTACAGGTAAATCATCTACTAATATTATTAAATATTTAGTCATTTAGTCATTTAGCAGACGCTTTTATCCAAAGCGACGTACAAATGAGGACAATGGAAGCAATCAAAATCAATAAAAGAGCAATGATATACAAGTGCTATCACAAGTCTCAGCTTAATGCAGTACACGTAGCAAGGTTTTTTTTTAATTATATAATAAATAAGAAAACAGATAGAATAGAAAAAGACTAGAGAAGCTAGTGTTAGGTTTTTTTTTTTTTTAAAGAAAACAAGCAGTAAATTAATAGAGTGCAAGTCTAAAAGGGGCACGTTTTTTCACATATATATGTGATTTATTTATTTAAATATGTGATTTATGTTATAAGTTATCAGAATATATAGCTACTTTTGGATGCCTAACAATGCAGAAAGATGCTTTGCACCCTAAACAGCCTTTTGACTGACTTACTGCCTTCAATTTCAGACATTATCCAAATAAATCATGTAGGATATATGATCAAACATGGGTGTTTCATGTTACCAAATAAAAACAAATGCTTATTTGTGCTTCACAGTGAGCTTCAATGAGCGTATTCTTTTATTTTATGGTGCAATCATGTGGCACTATCGAGGTGCAGCACAAATGTGGAAGGGTTCAGGAGCAGAAGCGATGGCAACTGTCCTTTTGAGACTCAGCGTTTCTCCCTCAGGTGGCAGGAAGGTAAAATGCTGCATCAGAGAGACAAAGAAGAGGAAGAGCTCCATACGAGCGAGCTGCTCACCTGGACACATCCTCTTACCTGGAAATCAGGCTCTGGATCAGTTTCTTTTTATTATTAGTTTATATATAGTATCATTCAAAAGTTTGGGGGTCAGTAAGCTATTTTTGAAAGAAATGAATAGTTTAATTCAGCAAGAATGCATGAAATTGACCATAAGCGACAGTAAAGATATTTATAATCTTACAAAAGATTTATATTTCAAATGAATGCTGTTCTTTTGAACTTTACATCCAAAAACAAAACAGCACATCAGCATATTAGAATGATTTCTGAAGGATCATGTGACACTGAAGACTGGAGTAATGAAAGCTCTACATCACAGGAATAAATAAAACATATTGAAATGTTAAACAGTTATTAGAAATTGTAATAATATTATACAAAATTACTCTTTTTACTGTATTTTTGATCAAATAAATGCAGCCTTGGTGAGCATAAGAGACCTCTTTCAGAAACAAAAAAATGTACCGACCTCAAACTTTTGAACAGTAGTGTATGCATACATGTATATATTTATTTTAGTTCTAGTATATATATTACATGTTCCTCCTGGTGACCTACCTATTGAAAAGGGAATGAAATGTTCTCTCTTCAGAAATTTGCCATTTTCATCCAGAAAGTGAGCAGGATTGAATTCATATGGTTTGTGATATTCATTCTTGTCCTCCAGAATTGGCTTCAGCATTGGCAGCACCATCACCCCCTGTCAAAACGAAAGAATTCGAACATTAAACAAAACTGAAAGAATGTTCTCTCCACTCTTCCACAATCCTTCAATCTAATGCTGTATCTAATGTGAATAATCACTGAGATATCCAGTATGGTTCAAAAATCTCTCTTTTTTGGATTTCCGGTTGAAATATGACCTGGATTCTATTCTACAAGCAATAAGTTGTGACTTACCTTTGGTATGAGACATCCTGCTACTGTGGTGTCTTTGCTGGCAACTCTCGGTGGAATGAAGGCAAGAACATTTGCGAACCTCAGAATCTCATGCATCACTGCGTAGGTGTACGGCAGATGTGCCCTGTCTTCCATCAAGGGCTGACGTGTCTGTCCAATCACCTGATCAATCTCAGAATGGACTTTCTCTACGTAACGTGAATGTGCACGAGTAGGTGGACATGCATATACACATCTGCCTAACAAGTAGATAAGTAATAGGAGCGGAGCGGCCCACCTTGCACTTCTGGAAACTTGGCCATGTAGAGTAAAGCCCAGCTAAGTGATTTAGCAGTGCTTTCCGTTCCTGCTCCAAACAGATCCAACACACAGTGTATCAGGTTTTCCTCAGTGAATTCCGCCTCATTGTCCTTACACTGAAAACAATGGAAAGATGAGGAAGGGAGGAATGGACAAAAAGAAGGGTTAAACACAGAGTGTGTTTCATTTGAAATGCTTGAATTATTAGCTAGCAAATGTGCATAAAACCTTAAAAGCCTTAAAATGATTGCATTATCATTATGCAAGCATCTGCTAAAATCAGTTACCTTCTCAATTTCATCCAGATAACAGTCAATGTAGTCTCTAGGACTAGATGGGTTTCGGTCCTCTTTGTGCTTCCTGATTTCCTCCTTAAAAAAGAGCTTAAGCTTGGAAAGGTTGGCAAATGCAGTCTGGTGCTTTCCTGGCAGCAGGGACATCAGAGCGGGAAACGTGTTATACAACTGTTGAGGGACAAACATATTTGGACTTTAGTAGGTTATAAATCTTTGCAGGAAATGACATTTTAACTAAACTTTAATGCATGAGTTAAATTATTAAAAATTATTCCAACATCACATCTCCCTCAATTAATATAAAATCAAAATTGCTCGTAATTACTTTTTTAAATGGATGTTCTTAGCCTTATTCTGCATGTATTTGTGCATGTTTTTCCAAAGAACAAGCATTTGTCTTTGTAAGATCCAAATGGATTGCAAAACAGATTCATATTGACTTTAAAGCAAGAGACGCCTTTGTGAATTACAGTTAAGATATTCAGCAACTACAGCATGCCTTTATTTTTATAAACACATCACATTTCCAGAGATCTCAAAAGCGGATGTCATCATAGTGGGGTAAATTTATATATTGGTGAATACAAAACAAATTTTTGCATTCCCAAAACATTCACAATAGTGTTTCTATGTCTTAACCAAAAGGGGGAAAAAATATCAAGAGATTGATTATGTTGGTCAGAAATGAGACGGACGTCAAATTTGCAGTCGCACCCTTTTGCCGTTGTATTATAAACACTTAAACAGCACTGTTAATCTTTTCTTTTTTTTACTTTAATGCCAAGGTATGAAAAGTGTAATATATTAGTTTAAATAAATATAAATAAGTTTCTTTCTTTTGTTAAACAAAGATGATATTTTGAAGAATGTGGGTAACCAAACAATTGTTGGTCACCATTGACTTCCATAGTATGGAAAAAAAATACTATGGAAGTCACCCACATGGAGGTTACCCACATTCTTCAAAATATATTTTATGTTCAAGAGAAGAAAGAAACTCTTACAGGTTTGGAACAACTTGAGAGTGACTAAGTGTCAGAGTTTTCATTTCTGGTTGAACTATGCCTTTAATGACTGTGGGAATGCATTATTATCACAGTCTGTGAAAAGGGTCCAATATAATAAATTTGGTCCCATACCCGGCCCCAGACATTGATGGGCAGCTTAAAGATTTCGTCTGAATACTGCAGCAGCTCATGAAAATGATGGTCGTCATACTCAAACTTGTAGCCAAAAACCAGGCTGCATATTACATTGCCCACTGCGTAGGTCAAGAGGTGATGAGGGTTGAATGGCAAACCTTGGAAAGCAAGGAGAGAAAGAATGGTTACAGCTGAAAACAGTACTTTCAAATCATTGCCCGTAGAGCGCAGTATGTACTCGAAGCCTGTTGAGATGTATGACTTGACAGAAATGGTGCTCACTGACCTTGCTTGGTTTGCAAAGTACTACAAACAAAGCGACACTCCTGCAGGATGGAGTTTTCTAGAGTTTTCTTGCCCACACCGAAATACTTCAGCGTTGCCAGAGCAAAACGCCTCTGATGACGCCACATGTGTCCACTGGAGAAGATCAGACCTACATACAAAAGGGTAAAAAAAAAAGAGCTAAATGCATGATCCCGAAAGTGAAATCAGTAACAGCTATTACTCATGGCCTGCAAATTTGCTTTTGGGTATGATGTGTGTGTTACACTCTGACAATGACAAATCAATCTGTGCCAAGAAAAGTACAAAGTCTGACAAACTTTCCTACACCATCACAATGGCAAGTTTATGTCACAAAATGTTGGCATGTAAATGTGGTCAGTCATGTGTTGATGAACGGCGGTTTGATGAAAGTGGAGCATTTTACAACACAATTTCAATATATGGAACTTTTGAATTGTGAAATCTACAGTATGTTTTCATAGTACTGAATGAATGAACTTCTTTATTTCAAGAGGGGAAAATTCAATTTCTTGTTACATCAGAATCACCGTAGCGATTAACACAATGTATGTCATGAATAGTTCTGCATATCTTTAACTACAAAGCTTGCTATTGTAGCCACTGCTGAAGGAAATTTTACCACCATAACTGGAGCTTTTCATAGTTTATATCCAAGCTATTTTATTGATAAACAAATTAGCTGTATCTGAAATGTTGCGAATCCTATTTAATGTCGAATGAAAGCAGAATTAAGAAATATTTCATGATGTTCTACAATATTGCTGCATAGTTTATGGTTGATATCTGATTTAACAACGTTATCAGCAGTCATATTTCTGAACATTTTAAAGTGTAAATGGTGTTATTCATAGTGATGTGTTGGCTGTGTGTACTGTGTTCCTCTACCTTGCCCTTTACAGATCTTGTCATTCACAGGGAAGTACGGCCGGTCTGTGAAGATGTCCGCCTGCTCCACAAACGCCTCTTTGAAACTCTCGTATCCAGTAAGCAGTATGCACGGTTTGTTTCCCAGATACAGTGTGCTCACATCTCCATACCTCTCAGCAATCTGATCAACATGTTATCTTGTAATGTGCACAACGGTAGTAGCCATGTCATTACCGCTCTTCATACAACTGAAAACTTACCTTCGGAAAAACCTCCACTGGATCACTAAAGCCTATATTCAGTACGTTTCCAATCAAAGGCAGAGGGAAGGGTCCTGGCGGCATGTTGTTTGTAAGAACATCTCGCAGGTGTTTCACCAGCAGCAGCACACACAGAAATATCAGGAAACCCTGAACATCCATCCACTGACCCATCAGCTGTGACAGCACTGATGCCATGCTTACTGATACTAGAGGCAGGTTACACAGGCAGGTTAGTTGAGAATCATTCTAATATTCTGATTTGCTGCTCAAAAAACATTTATTATTATGCTGAAAACAGCTGAGTAGAATTTTATTTTTAGGTTTCTTTGATGAATATAAAGTTTAGAAGAACAGCATTTATCGCAAATAGAAATATTTTGCAACATTATAAATGTCTTTATCATCACTTTTGATCAATTTAATGCCTCCTTGCTAAATAAAAGTATTAATTTCTATAATGTAATAATAAATATATAATGATTTAAATATACTGACTCCAAGCTTTTGAATGGTATAGTGTATAATGTTACAAAAGCTTTTTATTTCAGATAAATGCTGATCTTTGGATCTTTCTATTCATCAAATAATCCTGAACAAAAATAAATATATATTTTTTTTAAATATCGATAATAATACTCAGAAATGTTTCTTGAGCGGCAAATCAGCATATTAGAATGATTTCTGAAGGATCATGTTACACTGAAGACTGGAGTAATGATGCTGAAAATTTAGCATTGTCATAAGAAATAAATTAATTTTAAAAATATATTCAAATAGACAGCAGTTATTTTAAATAGTAAAAATATTTCACAATATTACTGCTTTTGCTGTATTTTGTATCAAAAAATGCAGGCTTGGTTAGCAGAAGAGAATTATTTAAACAAAAAACATTAAAAATCTTACTGTCCAAAAACTTTTGACTGATAGTGTGTGTGTGTGTGTGTGTGTGTGTGTGTGTGTATATATATATATATATATATATATATATATAGCCCCTCGGTAACCACCCCTCACCGTTACGGCGCCCCTGCACACACACATCAGTTCTCACAGGTGTACATCACCACAAATGTTTCACAAACTTTAATGCGCTTTTAGGACATTTTTGAGCTAATCTCAAGTGTCCAAACACTTTCAGAGTATATAGTAGCTATCAACACGTTTGCTAGGCATGCTCAGCAAGGTTTAGTATTGTGTTATACTTCACAATATGCTGAAAAGGACATGCAAAATATCAGATGAAGGGAACAAGGTTGTATTACTTACCCAGTGTAGAGACCAGTTTTTTTTCTCCCGATTTTCTTCAGTAAACCTGAAGAAAACACGACCATTTACTACATATGTAGCCTACTGTAGATGGTCTGCAATGCCTGATAACTAGCCTAGTTCGATTAATACAGAAGCTTCTCAAAACAACACAATTCACTTTGCTTCCAATTCGCTTCGGTACTTGATTCGTTTTTGTTATAAACATGTGATCTATGACGTCCGAGGTGAGGTTGCGTTAAACGGACCACCTTGATAGATAGATAGATAGATAGATAGATAGATAGATAGACAAA